GCGAAGACGGAAAATAATTCAAGTCACAGAAGCCTAAAAGACGTTGATTTTTCGTTTTTTTTTTTTGAGAATTTTTACAATGAACGTCGGTTAAGGGGGAGAGGGAGGGGGGAGGGAGGGAGGGGGTGTAGGGGGGGGCTATGATGTACCAAAATGTGCGTTGGACATGTTGTTTTTTTTTTTTTTTATTTTTTTAACGAAACGAAAGCGATGGTTGTTGTACGTGTGTATGGTGTGTGTGTTGTGTGTGCGTGTGTTACAGTGTATATCTTTATACATATATGAATGAGTGTGTATTTATGTTTGCATTTGTATATTATTTTATATAGAATGTATGTTTTATATGCATTATATGTAAATAGTTATGTATGTTGTTGTCTATAGGCACTGCAATATATGTATGTATACTTGTATGTATGTATATATATTATATATGTGTGTGTACGTATGTATGTATACAAGCATTTAAGTAGGTATCTATGTAAATATGTACATGGACATCAACGCACATATGTATACATTTCATACTACACATACACTAACAGGCACTTCAAGCCATTAAATTACGTACATGGACTTATCTGCGCACATATGTATACATCCACCTACACATGCACGTAACAGGCCTTCCAAGCCAATAAATACGTACATGGTTATCTACGCACACATGTATCATCCACCTACACGTGTCGTATCAGGCCTTCCAAGCCTAAAACATACATGGTTATCTCGTTCAACATGTATACATCCACCTACACATGTACGTAAAAGGCCTTCCAAGCCGTTCGTGACGATACGAAATCTCCCGAAGAACGGCTGCAGGTGACAGAATCCGATGTCCGAAACCGTAATCATTGGCTTCGCATAAGCTACCGAGACGACCTTCGCTGAGTTGGGCATCTTCCTGGGGGCATCTTCCTGGGGGCATCTTCGAGGGCATCTTCCTGGGGGCATCTTCCTGGGGGCATCTTCGGCTGAGGGCATCTTCCCGGGTTGAGGGCATTTCTTTCCTGAGGGCATCTTCCTGGGAGCTATCTTCCTGAGGGCATCCTGAGGTCCATCTTCCTGAGGGGCATCTTCCTGGAGGAGCATCTTTCCTGGGGGGCATCTTCCTGGGGCATCTTCCTGCATCTTCCTAGGCGGGCATCTTCCTGGGGCATCTTCCTGAGGGATCTTCCTGAGGGGGCAATGCATCTTCCTGGGAGGCATCTTCTGCTGGGAGCATCTTCCTGGCATCTTCCTGGGGGCATCTTCCTGAGGGCATCTTCCTGAGGGCATCTTCCTGGGGGCATCTTCCTGGGGCACATCTTCCTGAGGGCAGTTCATTCTTGAGGGCATCTTCCTGGGCAATCTTCCTGGGGGCATCTTCCTGAGGGCATCTTCCTGAGGGCATCTCTGTCCTGAGGGCATTTGCCTCATCTTCCTGGGAGCATCTTCCTGAGGGCATCTTCCTGGGGGCATCTTCCTGAGGGGGCATCTTCCTGGGGGGGCATCTTCCTGGGGGCATCTCCCTGAGGGCATCTTCTGAGGGCATCTTCTCTGCATCTTCCCTGAGGGCATCTTCCTGGGGCGGCTGGATCTCCTAGGGCATCTTCCTGGGGGCATCTTCCTGAGGGCATCTTCTTGAGGGCATCTTTCTGAGGGCATCTTCCTGGTCTCAATGGGCAGAGGGCTCCTGAGGGTGTACGCAGGCGGGAGCAGGAGGTTCTCTGGATGTCTGCGTCAGTGGGGAAAGTTGTGAAAAAGTAGAGAAAAAAAGGGGTGGAGGAGGTTTGGGTTTGTTTCGAAAGATGGTGGATACGTTTTTTTAATTTTATTTTATTTATTTTTTATTTTTATTTTTTTAATGTGTTGCGATATGTTCATGATCTCTTCTTTATATATTTTCTTATGTCACATTATTTTTTTTTAGATTTTGAAAATCTTCATATACTCCTGACGACTCTTGTATTCATATTCATATAAAATCATTATATAAGGCAGATTGATAATAATGATAATGACAATATTGATAATAATGATAACAGCTATAACAATATGTCATGATGATAAGAATAATAACGATAGTAATAATATTAGGGGTAATAACTACAACAGGAATGATTTTAATACGTTTGTATGATTGGATAATAAAGATAATGATAATTATAATGACATAAATCACAATTAAAATAGCAACAGCATCATCTACAAAGAACATAATAATGATAATGATGAAAAAAATGTGCATGATTGAATGATAATGATAATGACGATAATGATAACTATGACAATAAAACACAATAATAAAAGTAATAACAACAATAACATCAACAACATAATAATCACAACAACAAGAACAATAACTATGTTAATGATAAAAAAAAAATTGTGTATGATTGAATGACTAATATTCGACGATAATGATAACCATAACAATAATAAAAGTAAAATCAACAATAAATATCAATGGTAATAATCACAACAACAAGACAATAACAGACGGTCAATGATGAGAACTTGTGTATGATTGAATGATCAAGGATAATTGACGTTAAATGATATTGCCGATAACAATAAAAGTCACAATAATAAGGTAATTAACAGCAATAATATCAATGGTAATATTCATGCAAAACACACAGAAGAATCTAACAGTCAATGATGAAAAAAAAAAAAACGTGTATGATTGAATGATAATGATAATGACGATAATGATAACCATAACAATAATAAAAGTAAAAGCAACAATAATATCAATGGTAATAATCACAACAACAACAACAATAACTATGTCAATAATAATAAAAAAAAAATCTATGATTGCACCGTTGCAGAAACTCATCCTCTTTTTGCAACAACGGAACACCTCGAGAACATATAAACAACGTCATTAACAGTTTCTTCACTTCTGATGGACGCCTTTCGCCAAAACAACGCCCACACCCCACCCACGCCCATGCTGCCCATCGCATCGAGTTTCCTGTCATGGCGGCCGCCCACATTCTCTTCTCTCTCGACACGATCGGTTCTCGGTGGTGGGCGGCGGGGATCACGCTCTGATTTTTTTTTTTTTTTTTTTTATTCTGGTTTTGTTCTGTCTACTTTCTTTACCTGTTTCCCCTTTTCTGGTCGTTCTCTATTATTCTGGCTTATTCTGTCTTCTTTCTTTTTCTTTTTCCCCTTTTCTGGTCTTTCTCTATTATTCTGGTTTTTTTTGTCTTCTTTCTTTCCCTATTTCCGCTTTTCTGGTCTTTCTCTATCTCCTTTTTTTTCTTCTCTTCACTTAGTTATTCTCTCTTATCCTCTGTCTCTTCTTTTCATGTTCCTCCGTACACCTTTTTCCTTCCTCTTTCCCTCACTATCCATTCCTCTCCCTCTTCTCCCCTTCCACCTCCTCCTCTCTCCCTCCCTTCTTTCATCTCCTCCCTTCGTCCTTCTGTCTCTTTCCTCCTCACATCTCGTCAACCCTTTCCACGCTACCTGCCCTTTTCCCCTCACCTCCAGTGGTATGGCTCAGTGAAATAGGATAGTCAGTGTTGTACTATTTTCCCTCCCCCTTCACCGTCCTTCCCCATTCCCTCTCTTATCCCTTTCGAGTGAAAGATCTTGCAGTTATTGTACTCGTCATATCCCTTGGACCCTCGCCCTCCCTCTCCTCTTCCTTCCCTTTCCTCATCCCCCCGTTCCTCTTTAACACCCCTGCCACCCTCCCTGTGCCGTCAATACTGTATGTATGCAATTATGTCTGGTGTTAAGTCCACATGTGCAAGATGAATGTGCGTTCAATCCACGCAAAAAAAAAAAAAAAAGGAAAAAAAAAAAATAAAATATAAAAAAAAGGAATAAAAAAAGAAGAAAAAAAGATTTAAAAAATATAGAAAAGAAATATAAGTAAAAAAAATATAAGAAAATTTAGGGCTAATGAGACGGCAACAATGCACTTCATTTTTTATACAGAATTACAAGGACAATTTTATATAGTTTTTTTTTTTTTTATACATAATTTTGCGCAACATCAGGAATCTTTTGGGAGGAAACGACAAAGCGGAAAAAAAAAGAATTACCGGAAATAGATATTTAAATAATATAGAAGAGAAAAAAATAGAGGAAAACCTGATTGGATTAATGGAAACAAAACCAAAAATTTACAGAAATGATTTTATGTTTTTAATGCTCGGAAAAAGTGTACCATATTTCCTATAAAAACTAGATCTGAATGAATATGACAAACAAACAACAACAACGAACAAAACTAGGATATATTATATTGTTTTAAGTATCGAGCGTCTCAGATTACAAGTAGATATTTCAGTTTTAAGTAGTCCGTATATCACTTGGGAAAAGGCATCGATTTCAACCGACCGCTTCTAACTCAACACACACACACACACCAACACACACACATACACACACCCACAAGACGACACTGTATATAAGTGTAAGTATATTTGAACACTACAAACCACACAGCACAATACTCCAACACTCGTACGTTTTAAATTGTCTTTACAAAAAGAGTCTTATCCGTGCAACTAAGCAAATTATTGTTTAGACGACATAAGAGTAAAACAAATAACATATTGGTATATGTTAAATAGTATATATATATTACTTATATATAATAATTATAATTTCTACTATAGATAACATTATAATATAATCTATATAGTAGTTCTTATCTATATAGTAGTTTGATATAATGAGTATGGAAGCGACAGAATGTAAACACAGACATATGAGCAAATTCTAAGACAAATACACCATCATCAAACACACATTGTCCTCTCTTAGGTAAATTATGCAGATGGACAGACCAGCAGTACCAGCACTACTACACAACACACACAAGCAAAAAACATCAACACACATACCACATCATCACATACAGACACACACACATGTGAGTAATATGAGATTGATATTTCACACACACACACACGCAGGGACACACACACACAACATCACGAACAATCAACACACACGACACAGCTTGATGTTATATATTAAGCATATGGTTTTGGCTGTATATCGGAGTGATTTATGTGTCTGGAGGTAATATTTGTATATCAGGGTTGGTGTATTACTCGATTGTGAGGTGTTCCTTGGCATACTGGTTTGCATATTTAATGTATTAGTCGCACATCAGCACACACACACACCCACACACCCTCACAATACAAGCAAACAAAGCACGAAAGCCCAGTTTTCCACCAAGAATATTCCACCCACCTACCACACAACTCCACACACCAACCACGCTCATCATTCGCTATTCACAGACAAAGTCGTTAATGTCGATCAACTCACACAAACTCCAACATTTACGTAGCTTGACAAGCCGTATTTCATTCGCACCAACCACGCAGACACCTCCATATCCATCTATTAACATCTCGAACCCACCCAACAACCATCCTAACTACAGCCAATACCACGCTCCAACACCGGCATCTGCAAACCACCTACCGCACTAGCCCCACCTTGTCAGTATCTGGTTGAGGGCGTAGTTCTGTCTCACATGTTATATCATCTACCCCTCTAGCCCAGTACGAGACTTATTGAGATAACTTGATATCCTGGCTTTTGAAGCAGCTGATTCTGAATACGTATACATGTTTCATATAGGATGTGTTGATCGATATGGTTAATTAATTGATGACGATCATATTTATAGACCCGTAATAACGAATACATCTTCAATACTGCTCGTCAAAGCTTGTATTCTCTTAATATGTGACGCGGTGTAGGCGATTTGAAGACAACATTCTGTTACTTATAGTTGTTCTGCTGATTTTACCTGCCTTAATGTTGTCGCATGTGTGTGTAAGGTGGTTTCGGATTTTGTTAGTCCCACCCAACCTCTCACAACCCCACTCCAACCCAAACCCACCCCGTACGCTTGCACCCCCACACTACCCAAACCACCCAAGACTACCCTCACATATGCGTCCACCAAACTCCACCCCGCCGCACCCAAACCCCACCAAAACCCTCCAAACCCACCGCCGACCACCCACAACCCACCCAAACCCACCCCAACCTTACCTCTCCACAGCCCACCAAAACCACCCCGCGGGCACCCAAACTGGCCACCCAAACCCTCCAAAACCCACCCCGACCCTCCACACCCATGCACCCAACCTACCGTCTCACACGCCACCTTGCGCAAACCCAACCCACACCTACCCCAACAAACCCCACCCAAACTACCTCTCAGACAGGCCCACAAACTCCACCACTTCTCGCGACTCCACCCAAACCAGCACCCGAGCCCTACCAAGCCTCATCTCCACGCCACGTCTATACCCACCCGGACCCAACCAAGCTTCCCCACCACAACCACGTGTTACTACCAACTCCAAACCCGACATGCGGATCAGGTGGTGTTACCAAGAAGCAGATGAGGATCTCCAGGCAACGAAGACGGTCACTCTTGCATGCAATATCCATTCAACAAAGATTATTGCGTCATGCACGAGCAGCATCGAGGCCGTCATGCAGGCAGATATGCAGGGAGGCTGTGTGTTTTTGTGTCTCGTTTTTATTTGTTTTGGTGTTTTTTTTCTTTGGTTTGGTGTTTTTGTTGTTTTTCTTTGTTTTTTTTGTTGTTTTTTGTTTTTGTTTTTTTTTTCTTGATTTTCTTTTGTTTTTTTTTTTTTGTTTTGTTTGTTTTCTTGTTTGTTCTTCTTGTTTGTTCTTTATTTTCTTGATTTTCCTTTTCTTTGTTTTCTTGCTTTTGTTTGTTTTCTTGTTTTAATGTGTTTCCTTGTTTTTCTTTGTTTTCTTTTTCTTTGTCTCTTTTTTATTTATTTTTGATTGTTTTGTCTTTTATTGGTGGTTATCTTTTTTTATAGTTTATTATGATTAATATTTTTTTGTATTTTTGTTTTTTTTTATTTTTCTTTCTTTTTCCTTTCTTATTTTTTCTTCTTTTTTTTAGATATATTTCTTGTCCTTTTTCTTTTCCATTTTGTTTTTTCTTTTATCATTGCCTCGTTGCCTCTTTTTTCGTTGTCTTTTTCAACGTTTTTTCAGACAAACGGTTCTAGAAATTACGATGTCAGACCGCAAGAAAAAGCGAGAACGAAAGAGGAGATAAAGAATAGTAGAGAAAGGAAAGAAATGAAAAAAAAAAAACGAAAAAAAAGAGGAGAGAGGACGAACGAAAAAAATTAAACAAAATAAGATAGACAAGGAATTAAGAAAAGTTAGGAAAGATTTATACATATATATTGTTTTTTTTTTTTTTTTTTTTTTTTTTTGAAAGAGAGGGCAAAGGGGGGGGGGTAGGGAGAGAGGGAGGAAGGGGGGGGGTGTATCATGCCTGTATATATTTTTTTTTCTTTTTTTGAGGACTCTAATTAATGTCAACACCATATAGTTGAATTGCAATTTGAAAAAAATGCTATTGATGCATTATTGCAAATACGTGTTAAAAGGTTGATTTCTTTCTGTCTGTCTGTCTGTCTGTCTGTTTGTCTTTATCTGTCTACCTGTCTGCCTCTCTGTTTGTCTCTG